TCCTATTCTATTTTCCCTTTCCTCCACTTCTTTCTGTATGCTCTTTTCTTTTACCAATCCCTACCCCCTGCCCCTAACCAGAAGGAAGACATCAACACCAGAGGGAGAGCTTTCTTTCTTTCTTTGGAAAGCCTTCTGGCTATACAAGTGAGTAGGTCAATATCTTTGTCCATAAAAATGATGAGTGTTTCTTTTGAAATACAGACCATGATTCCAAAGAGTATGATCACAGAGTCAAAGGTCCTGCATTATAGATGCAGATATGAGTCTTGCTGATAGCCTAAAATTTCATTTTCTATCCTACTGCAGCATTAAATATTGGAGGTGGGCTAAAGACACAGACACCAGACTGGGAAGCCACAAATTATCTTATTGGTGGTAATGTTAGTCGCAGTAATACTGGTGAACTTTTATAGAGCACCTCCCGTGCCAGATACTGTTTTAGGTGACTGACAGGTATGAACTGATTTAATACTTATAATCTTAGGTACTGATACCCTTATCCGCATTTTATGGATGAGGAAACTGAGGTATAATTTACTCAAAGTGACACTGTTGAGATTCTACTTACAGGGCACTGTAAATCACATTGTGGATTTATGAACCCTGGTAGTATTTATGATATTCATAATTTTCTAATTGTGTCCCTCAGCTTAAATCTAAAAGACCACAAGCTAAACGTTTAAGCGGTAAACTGATCGAGTTTATCACCTAAACCTTAAGCTGAAAGCTGTGAAAAGGAATTAAGCATAGTATTTTAAAGCCTGTCTCCTATAGCTACTCTTATCTGCATAAGCCATGTTCTAAATCATCTTTTTTCCTTTTCACTGCTTCTTTACCCTACCTGTTTTCTTTTTTCCTGAAAATGACCTAATAATTTTCATAACGTAGTCACTGATCAAACTATTTGTAGAAACATCTGGCCAATTTTTCCTCTTTATGAAAAGTAAACACTCAGCTGTATATCATTTTACTTGAATTCTCGAATCAATGAGATAATATAAAAATTATGAAGAAACCAAAAGACTTTAAAGACTACGTGTTTATAGTTCCATAAAACAAACTTAATAATTAATAGTAAGGAAAATGAAAGAGAACGAACATTTGTTGACTTCCTGCCTAAGTAAGAATTAGATGTTTTATAAAACATATTGTTTATAATGGAGACTTGCCAAATTTGGTTAGGTTAGTAGGGGTGAAAAGGTGTTGATGGAGACACTATTTACTTCTCTCTAGATTGAAAGGAAAACTTAGACATTATGAGGTACTTGTCTTAGCTAATGTGATTATGTAGTTTACTTAGCACAGGAGGCATAATGTTCTTCACCGCTTTATAAACATTTACTTTAATCTCCGTGAGATTATGTGAATGATCCTGTGATTCTAGACTAAATTTTAACATTACATAAACCATGCATCTGGTAATAGAATGCAGTGTATTCTGTAGTGCACCAGTGTATTTATTTATAGTCAACTGTATTATTTATTCATAGATGTGTATTTTAAAATTTCTGACTTCAGGAATACATATTTGTATTTTCACTGGAGATATAATGGAATGTAAATTAATAATTAGCATCAGCCTGACTGAAGAGATGACTTTGCTACAAAAAGGAGAAACTTCCTCTAATAACCTTAAAGCCAAGAACACATTTTTATATTAATTTTCCTACTTCACAAATGTGGAAAACTATAGCAACACAGGCCTTACAGTTAAAAGAACTGCTATTTCAGGACAAATTATAAAGAGAAGCATTTCCTTTGGGGAACTACTCCCCCATCATTACTGTTACTGTTACTGTGCTGGAGGGAGGGTGTTGTATGCTTTTGGTAGCATAAGCCTAGTGGTCTAACATGAAAAAATATTAAAAAGTTACCCTATATTGGGTTTTGAACTCTGGTTTTTATGTTACAACTCTACATGTTAGTGTGTGTGTATATACACACATATATACTATATATATATACATACAATAAATATTTCCTTATTTTCAAAATACCTTAATCAAGATAATGAAAATTTTAACATTCCTGTCAATGAAACACATTAAATAACATGAGAATATGCTTATGACTTAGTGTAAAATGAAAAGCAAAAGACTGAATATGCAATATATTCCAATTTTTCAAAACTATCTTCTGAGGTGAACATGTATATTACTTTTTTTTTAAAAGATTTTATTTATTTATTTGACAGACAGACACAGCGAGAGCAGGAACACAAGCAGGGGGAGCGGGAGAGGGAGAAGCAGGCTTCCCGCTGAGCAGGGAGCCCGACGCGGGGCTTGATCCCAGGACCCTGGGATCATGACCTGAGCCGAAGGAAGACACTTAATGACTGAGCCACCCAGGCACCCTGTATATTACTTCTTAAGTAAACTTTTGTGAAGTATGGCATACAGAACAGTGTACAATCCGGGACGCCTCGGTGGCTCAGTGGGTTGAGCAGCTGCCTTCAGCTCAGGTCATGATCCCAGGGTCCTGGGATTGAGCACTGCATCGGGCTCCCTACTCAGTGGGGAGTCTGTTTCTCTCTCTCCCTCTGCTGCTCTCCCCCGCTTGTGCTCTCTCACTCTCTCTCTCTATGTCAAAGGCAGACACTTTAACCGACTGAGCCACCCAGACGCCCCCAGTATGTACTCTTTTGTGTATGACTTGTTTTTGTTCAATATTGTGAGATTCATCCATATTTGTGCAGTTGAAATTTACTCATTTTTATTGCTGAGTATTATTCTATTGTGTGAATATATCATAATTTATCCGCTGTATAGTTAGGGGCACTTGAGCAGTTTCAAGTTTGGACTTATAACATGTATTAACTTAAAAATGGATTTGAGGGGCACCTGGGTGGCTCAGTCAGTTAAGTGTCTAACTCAATTTCGGCTCAGGTCATGATCTTGGGGTTGTGGGATCAAGCCCCGCATCAGGTTTCACGCACGGGGGGGGGGAGTCTGCTTGAGATTCTCTTTTCCTCTCCCCCTCCCCCCACACTTGCGTGCACTCTAACACAAATAAATTTTTTAAAAAATGGATTTGAAAACCAAAAATATCAACAAAATCTAGTTTTCAAATAAACAACCTTAAATCATTGGCAAATGATTTACCATGCGAATTACTCCACATGATTTTTTACTTTCTTATGTTCTCCCCCCATCACCAGTTCTGGCTATGGACAGGGGGATGTCCAACCGTGTTACTGATGCTCGACTTCTTTTTCTTCAGCCATAAGTACTTGATCTACCCGGTTCAGAGATTTTCACCACCCCCCCAAATGGTGGTCATTTCACAGCAGAGGCAGCTAGCTCACTCTCCCTTTTCAGACCTCAGAGACACTTAAAAACCTGTCAAAAAACATTCCAAAAAACTTTCCCACAGGTCACATATTGAGCAACTCCTGCTGTTTATAATAAAAATACCAAAAGCTCATTTTTAAAAAGCCTCAGGACCATAAAACCCCATACCTTAGTCATAATGTAATTTGGGGCACATTTTATGAAGCAAGATAATGTCTTACAACTTTTTTTGTTTAACATAAGTGAGTATAATCACCTCCATTCCTGTTTTTATTTCCCACTGTCTCACTGAGTTGCTTTCTTGCAGGATCCTGCTGCAAGAAATGAGTAAATGGATATTAGAATAAAGAATGGATGCTAATGAGATAGCATGGGGTAAGTTAAGTGACAAAGTGTAAGGAACACCAAGTAAGGACTACCTATATATACATCCTTTACTGGAGACAGTCTTCACAGGAGAGATCCTAAGCAAATTATTAAAATGTGACTTAAGCATAGTTAAAAGATACTTCTCAAAGATACCTCTCTAAAGAAAAAAATCTAATTCTCTTTTATCTTTATTTCCCAAGTCTTGTACACTTATCACATTGTTCTGATTGTTTGTTAATGTGTCTCTTCCTCTAGACTGAGCTCCTTTGAGGGTGGGTATTTTAATATTAAATTTTAGATATCTAGCATCTAGCACTTAATAAATGTTTGGTGAATGAGAGAATGAATTAATTGAGAAAATAATTTTTTGAAAAAGAAAAAGTTTGTGGGGAGAGAAAAAAATGTTGCATATGTAAGGTACTACTGTTCTGAATTCAACTGTACACCCAAGTCCGCAATCTTGAGTGGTGAAAACACCCCCAAGAGATCCTGGAAGAGGAGAAAACTTTTGTCCCTTAACAGGTGTCTGCCAGTACAGCTGCACTCATTTGCTCAGGTTGTCTTCTGCCCCGACTAGAGATTAACCAACTACAAATAATTTGAATTTGGAGACCACCTGCCTAAAAGTACACTTAAATTGCAACCTTTGTAGGCTTGAGTATAACTGTGGTTGCAGTGAACAGAAAATTAGATGATATAGCTACACACTGGGAAGGGTTACATCACCACACTCTTGACGATTGCAAGTTGTTTGTCCTCTGGACACCCTGTATTAAACTCCTATTGGCTATTAAAATTTAGAGCAGGTTAATGAAGACAATATTTTACAAAGCTCAGCAGTTCTCAGCACAATAGAGCCAATACAACATTTTTTTGGTCTTCATTTTGTTGCATATCATTTATTTTATGTAGTTTAAAAAATAACACAGCAAAACATTCTTCAGAATTTTGATCACAATAATTATCACAATACCAGCACATTTTTGTTACTGTGTAACTAAAATGAACTTGAATTCCACCTTTTTCTTAAAAGACTTTACTTATTTATTTGACAGAGAAAGAGAGCAAGAGAGCATAAGCAGGGGCAGCAGCAGAGGAAAAAGAAGCAAGCCCCCCGCTGAGCAGGGAGCCCAAATGTGGGGCTCTCTCCCAGGACCCCAGCCGAAGGCAGACACTTAACTGACTGAGCCACCGAGACACCCCTTGAGTTCCATCTTAACAACATTAACTAATTACTCACAAAATTAATAGTCATAGAAGAAAACAGGAATAGGAAGAGTAAGTCCCTGAAATTTTAAAAAATTTAAATTATAGACATCAAAAATTAGAAACCACTAAATTGAGAAATTGTTGTTTACTGTCATATTAAGTATTTAAATAACCTTTATAAAGTACTCTTCACAATCCTTTTTTGAGCAGTTGCTGCTATATATTTGGCAAAATACTGATATTCTCATTTTGATTACTTTCTTATTTTCTTTCATTCTTTTCAATTCTGCACTGAAGGTTAGGAGAGGCTCAGACACTGGGTATGAAAGTGATAAACTGATATTAGAACACCTAGGAGGAAGAAAAACATCTCACCAAGAGCAGCTACAACAACTAATGGTTTTCACCTGTTGCTGATGTAATTGATCATGGTGCTATAACAGAAAGCTATTCTGTGTGATTCATATGTTGTTCTATTGGAACACATTCTACTCCTTTGTTATTTTAAGCCTCACTAACTCTGGGTTTCCCTTCCCTTAAAAGGTAGTTTCTAACAGTGTGTTTCTTTTAAAGCTAATAATTAATAGTGAAAGAAAACTGGCAGCTTGTTGAGTTTCAACAAAAGTCTTTAGCCCATAGAAAAATATTCTTTAAAATAAAATACTCAGCTATTTGAAAGTGTGCCCTACATTTATAAATGCCTTCAGCTGAGTTGTTAATATCCTAGAGTAGTAAAAGATTAGTATCTTTCATTTATAATTAACCTATTTGGTCCAGATTTTGCTCTCAGATACTACCATCACATTACCACACATAGGTTGAAAATGATAATTTTCCCAACTATCAAGCATAACTTTCAGTGAAATGTATTTAGTTGTCAAAGATCCACAAGCAGTCCACTAGTGAGATATGAGGTTATTTTGCCTTCTCACTAGTGAAATTTTAGCTATAAAGTGTACACAATTATAAAGGCATTCACTATTTCACCAGACTGTAATGCACTGTACATTAATTAATAAGATGTTCTCTTGTATAAATACTATCCCTACACTATATTTAGTGGTGTTTTCTTTAGCATCAATAAAATTTTATTCACACTAAAAAACATGGAATAGGTCCATGTTTTCAGCATGCTTAATTTTTACTTTTTTACTCATCATAGAGTCATGAACAATCACTGAGAAAACACTATCATTTCCTTATTACAGCCTGGAAAACTGTTCATTCCTGAAAATTTCTGATTAACCTGCTTTTTGAAGAAAATTCAGTTAATTATGAACTGTTGGGTACTGCTGGTGCTAAAAGATAATAACCAGAGACTCCTCTCCCTTGAAGTGGTACCATTCTCTGATGGCCAATTAGTACTTAGGGTAATACATTAGCTTCTTAAATGTTATCCAGTGCCCCCCTTTTAAAAATCATGCCATTCTCTTTTCTTTACTCCACCTCAAACCCTACCCACACTCCTAAGACCTCCTCCTGCCATTACAACTATTCTTAATTCATCCATAAACCTGGAGCTTATTGCTAAGAATGTTACCTAGAACAGGGAAGCTGAACTTTAACTCTGAAAGTAGATTTCTCTTTTAAGTCCAAAGCTTGCAAGCAGGCTTTCAAGTGGTTAAAAGGTTTTCTGAGAACTTCCAAAGCTGAGTTTTTACATAAGAAAAAAAACAAATTCGGAGGATTAACTATATTATAATCGTAGTGAGAAGTATAATTCCAGATATCTTGGAAAGGACATTCCATCCTCTTCAGGTCTAGGAAAGTTGAGATACACAGAGATTCAGAATGGATGAGCCTAGTGTGAGGACACTGCCTGGGACCTGAGGAAAAGATCGAGTTCCCTTCATTCTTCCTGGCTTTCACAATAAAGGTAGAAGAAGATATAACCCAAGAAAAGCTAAAAGGTAATCCTTAAACCTTCAGGCTGGTGCTTGGCTTCTCGGAGGAGGGAGCAGGGAGAAGAGCCTGCAAAAAACACAATCTTTTCAGAAAGTCCTGTTTGGGATAAAGTGCTGTGTCCCTCATGGCACAGTAGTAATGGAAAGAGGAATGAAGTATGAGTGGGACTTCCCCAGTTAATGGGCCAGAGGGCAGTTTTCACAGATTTCTGACTCCAAGGTAGCACAGAGAAAGCAATCGAGAATTTCGAGGTTCCCCTAAAGAGTCTGGAAGTGCTGATGGAACTGCAGGACTGAAACTGACTTGGTTCAAGAGTGAGAAGGTAGCTTGCTGCAGATTTCCCGTGAACAGACAAAAATATAAAGCTCTGCAAATCCTGGCACAGCTTGCCTACTGACCAAGCAGATGTAGTAAGAACAAGGCTTAAGGCCCAGAAGTCAAGCCCATGAAATGCCTCTCTGGAAAGACAGCAACAGGAGCAATGCTTCTTCCTTCACTCAAATGCCAACTTGCTTAAGGGAAGGGAGAACCTTAGAGAAGAGCAGAAATTTTTTTAGACTCAGTAATTTGTCAAAAGAGAGTATTATACTGAGATGCCTTCTGAAAAGGCAAGGCCGAGTATTTTATACCAAGATGAGTTGTGTATTTTATAGCATGATTTGCAATGGCTGCCTGTAACTAGAAAGAGATCAGTTTAGAAAATGAAGTTACTTTTTCTGCACACTCTAGATTGGGATTGGCCAATGTATACCTCTTATGCTAAAAAATGTCAAATTGTAATACTGTCGCAATTCCCATAGAAATTAAGATTCTTAATCCATAAAACCTGTATTGCATAAGTAATACTGACTCCGTTTCCTACAGTATTACCCTTAAAGAATAAAAAACAAAATCATGCATCATTCATGTCTCTCTGTCCACTGACCCTATAAAAGCAGTACATAAAGTACGTACACACCCTCTACGTCTACATTAAGAAAATTTTAGCTCTCATTTAAATGATCTACGACTTTTCTGAATTGTACTGTTAGATAATCTGCCACCTCTTAGAGTTTTTATTTTGCATATGAAGCTTCCAGTTTTGAGCAGCAGAGGTAGTCCCTGAACTGTCCTCAGGACCAAGGTAAAGTAGTGAGTCAGAAACTCAGAGGAAGGTCAGGAAACAGGATAGTTATATATCCAGTGCATTTAGATGATCACGAGTTTAAACAAGACAGTAACCGAGGGAGCAAGAACGAGGCACTGGTAACAAAGAAATCTTGGCTGTGGAGTAGACAAGTATTTCATGCTTGTTCAAAAACAAACCCCAGTGTTGTACAGACTAAACTTGCAGTTAGGCACTGTTAAAGTTGTGAGAGAGGGCTGTGAGATCAGGATTAAGGCTTCATCCTGATGTCAGCCTTATGGTGGTATATTCTGACACTAACTACAGACAAATTCTTCACTTTCGTATGTTCCCTGAACACTCTACACCAGAATTTACTTCCATTGATTATTTCATCTCTTCCTATACCCAAGTGTATTTGGTTTTACTTCCTCTTCCTTGTTTTAAAGATCCTCCAACAGTTTTCCTCTATTCCTCATCAGTATCCTTCACTCCAAAATTTTTGCCTGAGACTATTCTCCTCTTTGAGAAAACTTCATATAAACTCCAAGTAGCTTTGGGAACTAGCCTTTGGTAAAAAGAACAAACATTAAATATCTATTATCAATCAAGAACAGCTAGGTTATGCTGCATAACAAACATCAAAATTTCAGTTATATTACACATACACATGAGACTGCAAACATATCTACTAAGCATATTTAAGTATTTGATTCCTTTTCAATTCCCAATAGTACCCAGTATAACAGGAAGATTTAGGATTTTCAAAATCTGTCTTAATTGTATACATGAAATTGTATTCTAAAGAGGAGTTCAGGAGTCTAGGAGCATAGCCTTTCCATTAATTCAACATGAGAGCTCTCAAATGAGAGTACTATTTTAAGAAAATAAACGTACTGAAAGGAGAGAGAACTAAAAAGAACTAGAGGAACCACAGGTATATCTCTGAGGGGGTGATGTGACTCTAGCAACACTGTCTGACTTTCAATGATTCCTAAACATGTATCATCTACATTTTGGTAGAAAATCTTCCATCTGAAATTGTAGTACCTTCAAAGACAGAAGGTAATCTATTTTTAAAAGGGGAAGAAAATTGATGGCAAAACCACTTGAAAAAATATTTATATACTTCAGGTAGCCTTTTGTTGTTCTGTCAGGGTTTTGAATTAGCGATTAATTTTTTTTACACAAAGGTTCTGTTAAAATGTCCATATAGTATACAACAGTGTAGTTACTCTGCCTTGAAGTGGCTTACAGCAAAATAGATACAGTGCACTGTTTTAAAAAAGTAGTTTTACATGTAATGGTTCATAAAACTGATCAAGCCCTGCCAACAAAATTAGTCTACAAACATGTTTGTCGTGATATGTAACAAACCTCTTTAAAAGAGGTAGAGAAAATGAGTTTCAAATAGCTCCATCAAAGATATCAATAATTAATTTTTTTAAGAATTTGATTCTGTCAGAATCAAATTGATACAAGTGTTGTGCAACCATAAATTACAAAGTAGCTTATTAAATTATATGGTTAAAGACAATCATGCTTTCTATTTTGCTTATATCTCTCTATGTCAAGGCATAGTGACCTATTTCTTATACAGGGTGTCTCATTTAATCTGACTGTAACCCTGTAAGAGTTGAGATACAGATACTTTTAATAAATTGCCCGAGGGCACATGGTGCTAAGCGTTAGAAGCAAAATTCAAACCCTCATGTATATTCTTTTCACTATACTCTGTCTCAGATAAGAGTGTGGGTTAGAGTGCAGGAACAAGGGGACTGATCATGAAGGAGCCATGACAGCATCCCACTCTACATTAAGCCCTCTTTTCAACTTTTCAACATCATAAGCCTTACATTTTTTTCAGGGTTCTTTCTTCGCTGCTTTTCATAACTCTGGACAAATTACAACTTTTGTGTATTTGCACTCATGTTTCTTGCACTCTTTCAGGATTGTGGTGTTGGTAGGGTAGTGGCAGAGCACTGGTGTCAGCTCTAGAGTAGCCTCTGTTTTGGGAAAAGTTCTGGCAGGTTTTCAGCATGTGGACTGATACAGATAGGTCTATATAGTACCAGGCAGTGGGTCCTTGATAGATCACCTCAGTTCCTGAGGCACAAGTCAGATATGAATGGGCTGGGGTTAGCTCATTGTGCAAGCTTCTTTTCTAAACACAGCTCTATCTACTGGTTCCTCCTGTTGGAATTAAATGAAAAATAACTTCTGAATAACTTCTCATGACCTCTGTAACTGGTATCTGTGGACTTTGGAAACTGCTTTGATGGGAGCACATTTGAAATGGACCTTGATCTACAAAATAAATATTTGTAGCATGTTAAAAAAACAATGTTTAAGATACAGAACTCCCTTTTAGTCTTTCTGTGGCCATTGAAAAATATGATTTTATCTTTGGATACTTCTTAGCTGAGCACTAAGATGTTTTTGTTTTTTATGTAATTAAACATTTTAATCACTTAAAAATTATAGTTGCACCTGGAAGACATTTTGAAAATTTAGAATTCCAGTGTACTTTGAAGGAAAAAATTTATGAAACACAGATAATGGAATTAAAAATGAGCTAGCTTTCTAAATTCTGAATGTAGAAGTAAATCCCTGAATCCTTAGGAATATGGAGACCTCTGAGCTGCCACAGAACCAGCCACTACCCCCACTTATATCTCTGTCCTCAGTGTAAAGGCTACTGGTTTAAAGTACTTTTCTAAGTGGTTTTCCTGGTCAACTTTCAGTTCTTCCCACAGATGAGAAAAGGTATCCCCAGTTGGAAAGCCCAACAGTAATGAATTCTTGGAAAGATCACCCTAAGCATTTGAACAACACTAGAAGACATTATTACTATAGCACAAAGTGATAATTAATGTTCTAAACTATGACCCTTAGTTATCCAAAAAAAAAGTCTAATAAGCATGTTTAGTTCACGCTATATATTAAGAAAGAGTGCTATAATTTAGAAAGATTTGTTACCAAAAAAAAAAAAGTCAGTGTTAAAAATTTAAAAAGTCTGAGCCCCCGGGGCACCTGGGTGGCTCAGTCGTTAAGCGTCTGCCTTCGGCTCAGGTCATGGTCCCAGGATCCAGGGATCAAGTCCCACACTGGGCTCCCCGCTCAGCGGGAAGCCTGCTTCTCCCTCTCCCACTCCCCCTGCTTGTGTTCCCTCTATCGCTGTGTCTCTCTCTGTCAAATAAACAAATAAAATCTTAAAAAAAAAAAGTCTGAGCCCTTTATCCCAACCTCCTTCTTTCCTCTATGTGACAAAAATTAATTGCATTTCTACTATGTGCTAGACCTGTGCGCAATGTTGTGGATGCAAAGATGAATAAAACATGTTCTTTGTCCTCAAAGAGTTTGCTATGTAATGGTTCAAACAGACATATAAACAAATAATTCAAATACAATGTAGTATTTTGTTGGCTGTGTTCTAAATACTACTGGGTAGCACAGAAGAGAGAATAATGAAATATTCCTGAAAAGGTATGGGAAAGACCTATCAGGATCAGCCTTAGATTCATGGTAAATTTTCCAGCTTTTAGAGTAAATTGTGAGAAGTTAAACTAAAAGTTAGAAAAATAAATTGATATTTACTCAATTAAGAAAAGTTATAACATTAGAAAATTTGTCCTAATTAGAATAGTGAAAATTGAATGTTTATTTTATTGGCATAATTTTTTATATGCATGATAGCATATTATCAGACTTTTTAACTGCATATTTGGCTTTTATATTATGGTAACACATCTTTTATCAAAAAAAAAAAAAAACCCAACAAAACAAAACATGAAAGTGTTTTTGAAAACTTCATCAGTTTTCCCAAGGGCCTCTGTTAGTCCTCTGGTAATCAAGTCATTCTGAAGAACTTAATTCTGTCATCATCTTTGTTGGTTTTCTCATTTATCAGTGGCTTAGACTGTGATCCCAGCAGTTCTTCCTCTCTACTTTAATTCATTTCAAGACATTTTTAAAAAAGATTTTATTTATTTATTTGACAGAGAGAGACACAGCGAGAGCAGGAACACAAGCAGGGGGAGTGGGAGAGGGAGAAGCAGGCTTCCCATGGAGCAGGGAGCCCGATGCGGGACTCGATCCCAGGACCCTGGGATCATGACCTGAGCCAAAGGCAGATGCTTAACAACTGAGCCACCCAGGCACCCTGATTTCAGGATGTTTTTTGAATGATTTCCAGTTTCACTCTATAACTGAATTGAATTTGCCTTGTATTTACTGAGAAACCATTGTCTTTGATAGGATGAGTGTGTGTGTGTATATATATACACACAGTATCTATATACATATAGACACTATTAAACAGAGAAATAACATTTGAGTTAGGACTAATTTTGTAAGTGGTTGCTTAATGGAGACGTGTGATTGCCACTGCAATTGCAGTTATTTAACAACATCTACTTTTCTCCAACCCATTACTTTATTTTTTTTTTTTTTTAGTTTTTGATACAGTGTTCCATGATTCATTGTTTGCGTATGACACCCAGTGCTCCATGCAGAAACAACCCATTACTTTAAAACACCAGGATTCAGCTTTGATATACACATGAGTTGAATGGAGGAGATACAGATATTTTACAGTTTTCATAAGTGTGAAATCAGGAATTTCAGATACTAGTCTCCATTCAGCCTATAGCAAATTTTCAGTTATTTGAAAGTTTTATTTCTCATTCAAAGAGCAGATCTGATCATGGACTTTGGTCAAAGATGCTGTTTGTATTGTTAAAAAAAATCTCTCCCACATCAAACAGTGTATGAGGAAGGAGTCTAAAATTCGCCCGTTAGTCAGGCACACAGAAATTTGTGGCCCCAGGAATAATGGCCTTCCTGGAAAAATGCCTCTTAAGATGAGGTAAAACTTCAGAAGTTATTGCTTTATTGACTTGGGCTTTTGCGTGTCTTCCTTCCTTCCTTCCTTCCCTTCCTTCCTTTCCTTCCTTCCCTCCCTCCCTCCCTCCTCCTTCTCCTTCTTCACTGTTGTCCTCTGACATATCTAATTAAATAATGAAACATTTATTATGTCTTTGTTATGTACAGGGTGTTAATGAACTGTCTTTTAGGCTTGGCTCTTTTGGTTTCTTGTATTCTCTCCTAAGAAAAATAATGAGGTTACACTCTTTAAAGCTGCCACTTTCTTGCAAGTTATTATTTCACATATACATCATCATATTTTTGGTACATATCCCCTGGGGCTTGCTCTATTGTTATTTCTTATTCAGTGTGTCTCAAAACCACCAAACCTGCTGAGGCATTAAGCATACCTTTTGGACATGCTCTTAAGAATATGGGAATTACCATATTGAAGCTAGCCATCCACCCATCATGTCTGGTTATCTGAATTGAAAACATTTCTGTCTTGCATTAGAGGCAGGCATCAAGGTCCCATGAGTTGCCTACCTATGGGCAGTAACATACAGAAGGAAGACATTTCATTTTGATTGCATCTGGTGATCTTTTTATGCCCTGAGGCATTAAGACTGATCTTTTGTAATTCTAACCTAGTTAAGTGTAATTGCAGTTATATTCATATTTATATAGGTCCCTAATCCTTAAACCAAGCTTCTACACTGGGAATTCTAGTTTACTTTATATAATCTTTAAAAACATCCACTTGCTTTTTTGCAACAGGTGTGTTTCCAGAACACAGGAGTCACAAAAACCACCACTAAATCTAAGCCATAATGGGAAAGGAAAAGATTCAGCACATCATCACCAGATATACAGATGTGGGTAAGTTTACCACTACTACTGGCCATCTGATCTATAAATGTGGTGTGATTGACAAAAGAACCACCAAAAGATTTTTAAAGGAGGCTGCTGAGTTGGGAAAGGGCTTCATCAAGTAGCCCTGGGTCTTGGATAAATTGAAGGTGAATGTGTGCAAGGTATCACCACTGATATCTCCATGTAGAAATTTGAGAACAGTAAGTATTATGTTTTCATCACTGATGCCTCAAGACACAGGGACTTAATAAAAAACATGATAACAGGGGTGCCTGGCTGGCTCAGTCAGTAAAACATGCAACTCTTGATCTTGGGGTTTTAAGTTCAAACTCCATGTTGGGTGTAGAGAGTATTTCAAATAAAATCATTAAAAAAAAAAAAAAAAAAACATGATTATAGGCATAGCTCAGGTTGACTCTTCTGTCCCAGTTGTTGCTGCTGGGGCTGGTGAATTTGAAGCAGGTATCTCCAAGAATGGGCAGACCCAGAAGGATGCCCTTCTGGTTTACATACTTGGTATGAAACAACTAGCTGTTAGTGTTAACAAAATGGATTCCACTGAGCCACCCCATAGCCAGAAGAGATACAAGGAAATCATTAAGGAAGTCAACACCTACATTAAGAAAATTGGCTACAACCCTGACACAGCAGCATTTGTGCCAATTTCTGGTTGGAATGGTGACAACCTGCCAGAGCCAAGTACTAAGATGCCTTAATTCAAGGGATGGAAAGTCACCTGTAAAGATGGCAATGCAAGTGGAACCACACTGCTTGAAGCTCTGGATTACATCCTGCCACCAAGGTATCCAACGGGTAAGCCCTTGCATCTTCCCCTCCAGGACATCTACAAAATTGGTGGTACTGGTACTGTCCCTGTGAAGACTGATGTTTTCAAACCTGGCATGGTGGTCATCTTTGCTCCAGTCAACATTACAACTGAAATAAAGTATGCTGAAATGCAGCATGAAGCTTTAAGTGAAGCTCTTCCTGGTGACAATGAGGGCTTCAATGTCAGGCATGTGTCCCAAAATGTTCATTGTGGCAGTGTGGCTGGTAACAGCAAAAATGCACTGATGGAAGCAGCTGGCTTCACAGCTCAGGTGATTATCCTGAACCATCCAGTCCAAATCAGTGCTGACTATGCACCTGTGCTAGATTGTCACACAGCTCACAATTACTCACAAGTTTGCTCAGCTGAAGGAGAAGATTGATCACCATTCTGGGAAGAAGCTGGAAGATGGCCTCAAATTCTTGAAATCTGGTGACGCTGCCATCATTGATATCATTCCTGGCAAGCCTATATATGTTAAGAGTTTCTCCATCCTCCTCTGGGCTGTTCTGCTATTAATGACATGTGATGGGCAGTTGCTGTGTTTGTCATCAAAGCAGGGACAAGTAGGTTGCTGGGGCTAGCAAGGTCACCATGTCTGCTCAGAAAGCTCAGAAAACTAAATGAATTATTCCTAATATCTGGGAACCCAGTCTTAATCAGTGGTAGAAGAATGGTCTCAGAACTGTTTATCTTAATAGGTCATTTCAGTTTAATAGCAGAAGAGTGGTTAATAACAATGCATCATAAAACCTTCAGTAGGAAAGAAGAATGTTTTGTGGACCATTTGTGGGGGGAAAGGGGCAGTTTTAAGTTACCAGTTTTTTAAATCAGTACTTAAGGGAAACGACTTGACCAAAAATCTATCACAGACTTGAGAGTCATTAAATCTTCTCAAATCTCATCCTCTCAAATCTCACATATTTTATATCTGTCGCCTCTTTAGATACTAATAGCCTCATGTGGAAATGGCAAATGTAAGCTCTTCCCATTGTTAATCACTGCTTTAGAGCTGTTAAGATTTTCTCAAAAGCTATTATCAGCTCAATCACCAGAACATAGTTCTGCTCTGTTCCATGTTTTGTTTCCCCAACTTTTTTACTAATAGCAGGGGATGGGAGTTTTTTATTTTGTTTTAGTAGCTCTAAATGACCCTGCTTCTTGAATTTTTTTTCTATTAATCAATCTACATTCTTTGTAAAACTTTGTCTTTTCTCAGTTCTGTATTATTTTTCTACCAAATTTGCTTTTTTTGTCTTTGTTAAGTTTGTCCCTGTTTTGAATCACTATCTAAATGTTTCCTGTGGTGCCCTAGTGAGGTGTTCAACATGAGTTCAGTAGGCACCTATCCCTGCTACCAAGCAGCTTAAAGTCAAAACAGAAAATACTGAAATGGATTAACTAAAGATAATAGTGGTAATTTAGATGATTAAAGAAACACTGAGTAAATTTAAAACAAAGTAAATTATATAAAGGGAATCAAGAAAGGGAATACCCTGGTATTGTATACATAGCCTCTCTATATGAAGTATTCTAGGAAATAGAACAAAATCAAATTGAGCCACTGGGTGGCTAGTTGGTTAAGCCTCTGCCTTTGGCTCAGGTCATGATTCCAAGGTCTAGGATCAAGTCTCACACAGGACTCTGTGCGCAGTGGGGAGCCTGCTTGCTTCTCCCTCTGCCTGCCGCTCCCACTGCTTGTGCTTTTCTCTGACAAATAAATAAAATGTTTTAAAAAAAACAAATTCATCATAGTTCAAAGCTTTCTAAATGAATTTTACTGTATTTTCATAGGAATGTTGTGAAAGGAAGAATGGACGGATATGTTCTGTGAAATGGTGAGAAAACGGAACTGCTGAGAATGGCATTTTAATATTTAAGGACCTGGGATGGAGATAGAAGAAATCACTAGCTTCACCAGTGGTGGAGGTAGAACTACTGGATTCATCTGAATATAAAGAGAATGAATGTGTTGAGTTCTAGAAATGGGAGGAAAAGGAGATGAAGAAGGACAATCAAAGAATACACCAGTGGAAAATAGCAGGAGGAAGATGAATAGGCAAATGAAAACTGTCCTTGAGTATAGTTTTCTCAGAAAGAGGGAAGGCAATGGAAGTGAAAGCAGAAAAGAAAAATAAATGAGGCTATTGCTATAGAATTTGAAGTGCTTTTATAGACGGATTAGTGATTAAATTAGTGTGAGTGATGAGCATTTTATGTATATAATGAAATCTACAACCAGTTGTAAGCATATTTTTAATGAATGTTTTTTGACTTGTTAAATATCAATACCCTACATGTAGCATTATGGATATTTTATATTTTTCATTCAATGTCATTAACTGGTTCTTTGTATTTTCTCAACTAAATATATTCTCATAACAGCAAGTTTTCTACCCAGGCAACTATGGTCCTTGTTACCTAATTATTTACTTATCCATAAAATAAGAGCTGCTTTTCATTTAACAAGATATGAGGGAATAAGGCCAAAAGCAGAAGACACTGTTCTGGAAAAATACTGGGGAGAGAAGGTGGCAGGAGGACGCACTCACCAAGCCTGTAATTTTGAAACAGACATGGTAGTTTATATAGAATTGGAGGTGAATTGAGATTAACTAGAGAACCAAAACTTCTAAATAATAATAGACATGGTTTTGAGAGGCATGAGGAAACTTTCTAAGGTGGTAATAATGTTTAGTACTTTGATCTGACTGCTGATTACATGTGTTTCTTTCTATCTTAAAAGTCATTGAGCTGACCTTATGATCCAGCAATTACACTACTGGGTATTTACCCCAAAGATACAAATGTAGGGATCTGAAGCAGCAATGTCCACAATAGCCAAACTGTGGAAAGAGCCAAGATGTCCATCGACAGATGAATGGATAAAGAAGATGTGGTATATATACACAGTGGAATATTATGCAGCCATCAAAAAGAATGAAATCTTGCCATTTGCAACGACAAGGATGGAACTGGAGGGTATTATGCTAAGCGAAATAAGTCAATCAGAGAAAAACATGTATCATATGACCTCACCGATACGAGGAATTCTTAATCTCAGGAAACAAACTGAGGGTTGCTGGAGTGGTGGGGGGTGGGAGGGATGGGGTGGCTGGGTGATAGACATTGGGGAGAATTATGTGCTATGGGAAGCGCTGTGAAGCGTGCAAGACTGCTGAATCACAGATCTGTACCTCGGAAGCAAATAATACATTATATGTTAAAAAAAAAAAAGATAGCAGGAGGGGAAGAATGAAGGGGGGGAAATCGGAGGGGGAGACAAACCATGAGAGACTATGGACTCTGAAAAACAAACTGAGGGTTCTAGAGGGGAGGTGGGTGGGAGGATGGGTTAGCCTGGTGATGGGTATTAAAGAGGACACGTTCTGCGTGGAGCACTGGGTGTTATGCACAATGAATCATGGAACACTACATCAAAAACTAATGATGTAATGTATGGTGATTAACATAATAAAAAAGGCTATAATAAAAAAATAGTCACTGAGCTGCATAATGTAATCTTAATATTTACATATTTTGCTGTATGTAAACTATCAATTTTTTAAGAGTAAGAAAAAACTCACCTGAATTCTAATAGGTGTTTCATACTAAGATATTGTTTTCAATTTTTTTTATTCTTTCTACTGGATATACACTTAGGTATCATCTTTGATGCTACTTTTAAAATGTTCTTTAAAGTGATACCCTAGGAAGAAAAACTAGCCAGTATATTTCATTTATAACTGTCATGAACAGAAATTTCCCAACACTAACCTCTGTTTCAGATTCCTGCTGTTGCTTCTGCACTATTAGTTGGTGTCAGTGGGGGGTTAACAGCATTCAATTTAACCTTGCTATTTGTACTCTGTTTTGAATTTTTTTTTCTTTTTTCCACATTTAACTTCCTTACACGGATTCCCCATTTTAAGGATCCTGCATGCACCATGGGGTCTATACATTGAAGGACTGTAAGTGCAGATAAGCACACAATAAAAGCGCATTTAAAGATAATGTGAAGCTCCAAGACCTTTTTTTCCCCCCTGGGAGCACAGAGGCTTTGCTGTGAAAATCACTGCAACAAGAGAAAAACTTTGTAAGCCTACTCATGCTTTTTTTTTTTGAGATTATAGACTAGTTTAAAATATGTAAGAATTGTATAGGCATGGATTAATTATAGGTTATATGTCCAGATAAATGGACTATGACCTATACGACAATAACTATTCTACTTGTAGCTAGCCGTGAACATCACATCAGAAGCAATTCCTCTCTCTCTCCCACATTAAAATTATAAAACCTATTATTGCCTGGGGCCACATCCTCTACTACTTTCCCAATCCCCCTCTCTCTACTCTCACCTCACCTCCCTCGT